CTGTCTGTCTGTCTGTCACACACACACACACACACACACACACAGCAGAGCGCTTGCACGGGTAATGTAATATCATTTGATAAATTACATATATAACGCCCGCTGGATTTGATATGACACAACGCAGTAAAGCTTTTAAACAATATTGTTTGGCAAAAACATAATAAAAAGGAATAACAACAGCAACAGCAGCAACAGCAGCAACAGCAGCAACAGCAGCAACAGCAGCAACAACAACAACAACAAAAACAATAAAAAATGTACAGCATGTTACAGAATACACGATTTGATAAAAATTTGTTTTGTTTTAGTGTTTTATGGCACTTGCAACACAATAAGGTCGTATGAGTGCAGAAGATTAGAGGTGTTACAAGGGAGTAACAAACATAAAATAGAAGGAGGAGAGATAAAGACGATAGATGTTTGATAGGAAAGAAGAAGCAAACCACACCAGAGCACCCGCCAAGCAACCACATTTAATAAAAACGGAACAGGCTGGACTCCTTCCACCCCTCAACCAAACCTAAGAACAGACGTGTTGAAAAAAATGAATTATCATATGTGAGGCAGCGTGGTGGAATCAGGCTCTCGTCAAAATAATCAAAGTAAAGAAACTTGCATTTTTCCGCAGGTTTGTGAATTTTTATCAAATTTTTGTTTTTTGGCTCAACACCTTTCATGCCCATTAAAGAATTCATTTCTGAGTGGATTTTTCTGAAAAGCGTTGATTAAAGGCATAACAAATGTAAATTTTCAGTTACAACGGACTCTTAAGCTAAGGAAATAACTAATCTTTGGCGCCATTTTCTCACTAATTTTACCTCTGAAAACAGGTGACCCCCACCCCCTTCTTTCGCAAATATCTCGACTTGTATTTCAAGATAAATAGATATTTTTTTGCATCTAAATAAAGACAAGTGAACAAGCTTTGAGATGATATCAATAACTCTACATGCCCAAAAATGGACGAGAGCTTGATTCCACCGCGCTGCCTCACATATGCTGCCAATGTGGAATGTTATAAACCATGATAATAAAATACTTTACCTCTGTATTAGACAGCAACATATCTTGTCAGTTTGTGTGTTTTTGAGCGCTTTATTGGCTGTTTGCAATGTATGCTTCACGGGAAGCCTTTAATATTTCTGAGTGCTCTAGGGTCTTCTAGGGTTATAATAATAGACTGTAGGGCACAACGAGCTTGCTGTTGAACAGGGATATGTCTTAGGCTATACAATAAATGCTATAGGATGCAGTAGGTGAAATATAAATGTGGGCCTTCAGCTGATAAAAACAATCTGGAAAAGACACATTTTGCAGTTTCTGGGACACCTGAATGGACATAAAGGACTCTCACTGGGTAAATTGAAGGCAAACAAGGCAGAGGTAAACCCAGGACAAGCTATTTGGAGAGCCTAAAGAGATGGGGGACGGGGAAAGATCAGGGTAATGTAGCATTTTTGAGAGCATCCGAGTAAAGGATTGAATGGAGAACCATGATCGCCGATGTCTGTTGCAGATCTAGCACTTAATGATGATGACGATGCTGATGATGATGATGATGATGATGATGATGATGGTGATAATGATGATGATGATGATGATGATGATGAT